AAATGTTTTAAATAACACTAATTAATGTTTGCATATATATTTATTTCCATTTACAATCAAGAATAGTTTTTAAAAGACACAAACACACTCCCAAACACGCACAGACACACACATAAAAACACAAAAAAAAAATTGACTATATATATTAGAGATTCATTATCCGAAAAAAAATTTTACATTTATATAAAAAACTAGATGCTTTAAAACTGCGTTATTTACTACCCGGTGGGAAATAAGCTTGCGACTAGCTAGCTTTATAGTGATTTTCAAGCGGTTTTTTTTCCTATTTTACTTTTTCCTAATATCTTTAGCATCTTTAAAAATTAGATTTTTTGTGTTGAGTCTCTTATAGTTATGAGGATAATTGAAATTTAAACATTGCGAGTTCGTAGCAATGTGTCGCTAGTTAGATATTGTAGCTTTATAGCTAGCTACAAAATATCTAAAAATCTATAGCTTGTTGATAGCTACATACCAAGGTTTTTCTAGAGAATGATTATATTACGATATGACGCTACCTACAATAGTCAGTGGTACTTTATCTAATTAGGCTAGCTGTCCTCATAGCCAAATTGCTGTCTATACGGTTATAGCTAGGTATTCTTCGGCCGATTTCCAACCGAGTAGTGTCAATAATAAAATATAATAATATCACATCTTTAATCACTATCTAAATTATTTAAAAGAAACATAGGACCACATTACTTCACCTGATAATGTTGTAAAAAAAAATCATGTATCTTTTAGTCTAAAAAACTAATTAGATGTATTTGTTAAACAGTTTCTCTTTCAGATAAACTGTTTTCTTTTTGGTCGTGAGTTGTTTTTTTACGAAGTTTATGAAAACCTATGTTTAAATGTATGCACCATTTTGAATAAAAAATGTACTTAAAAATTTCCCCTAGTAAGCATACCCTAACCCTAACCCTAACCCTGACCCTAACCCTGATAATTAAAACTTAGGGTGCTATTTAAACTACCAATAAAATACAAATAATACAGCATTTAACTAAAACATTTTTTTCCAAAAAACTGATAAATATCTGTTAGTCTCACTTTATCCCATGGACCAACTTTACCCCACTCTGCTCAATACTGTAAATTTAGTAAACTTATAACTACTTAATAAACTTAAATACTTTTACTATTGTATGCTTTCAAACATTTGTGAAATATGTTAACATAGTTGTAGAAAGAAACTTATTTTCATGTCTGCATTTTTTTAATTCTTTTTTATTTGTTTTTGGTTCACATTTGTAATGATTTTAAATTTTTCTTGTATAAATATTTTTGAAGAAATCCAAGTTGTCATTAAATTCTTTAACTCCCCCTTTTAAAGCTAGCTTTATTCTAGTCTTTTACCTATAAGCCTTTTACCTATAAATATTTACCTAGTATTTTAGCTATAGCTTTTTACCTATAAATCCAAACTAGCAGACGTGATAGTTTTGCTATTTTAAGTAAAAGTTTTAAATCAATTAAACTTTTCTCTTTATAGATATTATTTAGGATTGAAAACATTTATTGACAGGTTTATACATATTTCAGTTTTCAAATCGGACAACGACAAAGCACTGATGCCTTTCTACAAAAGATCGGTGTTCAACAAACAAAAGCGATTATGTTTTCAAAAAGAAATTTACAAAATTTTAGATTAAGTTTAAAAGTTAAGCTAGTTTTTTTTATTAGTTGATAAGAAAAATATCTTCAAACAATTTTTACAGAACTTTATTAAGTATGATATCTTATAAAAAACAATTATATATATTTAATTTTTATTTTTTTTTTTTTTTTTTGTTTATATTATTTAGGTGTCGTGTAATATAAACATATAAACTTGTAATCTGGAGATCAAATCAATCTTGTCGCCATTTTAAAATTACAATATAAATATAATATAAAATAATACAAGTAGTTATAACAAAATAATAATCCAAAATTTGAAATAATAAATAGTTAAAAAAAATATCAAAAATATTTCAATATATCATCAATTTAAAAAATAATGTTCTTTAACTTATTTTAAAAACAGAAAAAGCGACAGATGACTCGAAATAAGGCTAGACAATTTTATTCCAGAGATAAAGTGCTCGATAATATATGCAAAAATGATTTAACTTAGACAAAAGGGTTTGCTTGACATAATACCAAACCGAAACATTATTAAAAACACTTTTTTTTTTAATTTGTGGTTAAAAAATTCGAAAAACAGTATTTTTCAAAATAACACAAATAAGTTAACCTAAAAAAGTAATTAAATACACAGAATGTTTATGACATTATTTATGTAATATTTTTTTTAACTCAAAAAACGGCAAAATAATATATAAATAAAAAAGTGCTTATAAAAAAACATTTATACGGTAAATTACTTCCGAAAAATCTTAAAGTCAATAACAATTGTATTGTAAATAAATCCTTAGTGGCCGAAACACTTAATCAGTTTTTTGTAAATATAGGTCCTATTTTATCATCAAATATAGCAACTTCTCAAATACACTTTAAGTCTTACGTAACCTCAAACAACATTAGTGTTATGTCTAATCCTAAACTTACGAAAAATGAATTATTAGACGCAGTCTCTTTGTTAAAGCCCAAAAAAAGTGTAGGTTTTGATTCTATAAGTAGTAATGTCGTTATTAAATCGATAAAATACATCACAATTCCATCATTACATATTTTTAATTTATCTTTAAAACATGGTGTTTTTCCTGAAAACCTAAAAATTGCAAAAATCATTCCAACTTTAAAATCAGGCGATCCTTCTGAAGTTGCAAAATATCGTCCAATCTCAATTCCTTGTTGTTTTTCTAAAATATTAGAGCGAGTTATGTATAATAGGCTTTATTCTTTTTTAAATGTAAATAATATTCTTTACCATAAATAATTTGGATTCAAATCTGGCCATTCCACCGATCATGCAATCATTCACCTTGTTCAGGACATATTTAAATCGTTTGATGAAGGCAAGTATACACTAGGTCTTTTTATCGATTTAAGTAGCTTTCGATACAGTCAATCATCAAATCCTTCTATCGAAACTCAAAAGTGATGGTATAAAAAAAACTAACTTTTCCTGGTTCGAGAGTTATTTGACCAATAGGAAGCAGTATATAGTTTATGATGAAGGAAAAACTAATTAAGAGACAATTAAATGTAGTGTTCCTCAAGGATCAATTTTAGGGCCCTTTTTTTTTCTTGTTTATATAAACGATTTAAATAAATTTTCTAACATTTTAAATACAATTTTATTTGCAGATGATACCAGCTTGTTTTATTCCAATAAAGATATCAATATATTTTTCCAAATATTAAACAAAGAACTAGACAAACTAACCCAATGGTTTAAATCAAACAAGTTATCTTTAAATATTACTAAGACAAAATACACTTTATTCCATCGCCTACATAAAAAATCCGATATTCCCTTAGAACTCCCAGACCTTTTTATTGACAATCAATTAATAAAGAGAGAGCAATCAATAAAGTTTTTAGGCGTGTTTCTAGACGAAAATGTAACCTAGAGGGAACACATAGGTGTAGTTGAAGATAAAATATCAAAAAATTTAGGTATAATGTACAAAGCAAAGCAGTTATTTTATCGATCTGGTTTAAAAAACATTTACTTTTCTTTTATTCATCGCTACTTAAGTTATGCGAACATTGCTTGGTGTAGCACTAACGCGACGAAATTAAAAAAATTGCTTAGCAAACAAAAACAGGCTATAAGGATAATTTCAAACGTAGATCGTTTTTCACACACAAAAACACTTTTTAATGAACTCAATATCATAAATGTATATAAACTAAACCTCTATCAAGTTCTTATTTTCATGTTCAAACTTGATAAAAATATATTACCAATCTTATTTTATTCAATTTTTGAAAAATAAACTACATATACCCTAAAAGATTTTCAAAATACAACTACATTCAATCCAAAACTTATTATTCCGCTACTAACTTCTCTATTGTAAACCGAGGACCAAAGTTGTGGAACATAATATTAAATAATGAAATGAAAACTAATTATTCTCTAAACCAATTCAAAACAAAACTTAAGCAATTACTTTTGTTAACTGAAAATGAATTAAATTTTTTCTAATAAAACTTCTTTATATTAGAAATCAAAAGTTAATAGTTAATTAATTAATTACTTTAGATTATTAATACATAATTAATCAACAATTGTACATATATTTTTATCATTTTAAATGATAATCTTCTTTTTGTGAAATTTATTTTTTATTTTTGCGTTATTTATTATTCTTTTACTTTTATTTTATACTGTTTATTTACTTTTACATAATTGGCTATGAAAAGTATTATAAATATAATTACATAAGTTAAACTATAAAATGCTCTACCAATAAAATGTTTTTATATAAAATCATATCTTCTTATTTTTCAAACCAAGTCTTAAATGTTATTTTTTTCATTTTAATATTTTATTAAATTTTGTTTCTTTTATTTTACAAAACAATTGTTAAATCTTATTCTTTGAAAAACTATAAATTTTAAACGATATGCGATATATTTAAATTTTCTTTTATAATACAAATCAGAGATATATACATTGAAACTATATTTTATTGTTAAACTATATTTTGTCTAGTAATGACGCATTTTTGGGGCTTAATGATAAGACTAAATTTTTCTTCTTCTTCCCGGTCATGTAATTATTTATTTTATAAGTTACGACTGTAAATTTTTTAATCGGCAAAAGTGTAAATAAATAAATAAATGAAAATTGATTAGATATGAAACAAAAGTGAGCCAGTGAGAAATTTAACGGTTCATGCTGCTTGGGTATTACATCAGTATTTTTCAATTCAATATTTCTATAATTATATGATGCTGTATTTGTTTTGATTATAATAATTTTGATTTAAATTTAAAAAGCAATTGCAAAAATCTGAACAAAATAGCTAACTTAAAAAAAATAATAATCAAACTAATAAAATAAACAATTTGAAATAAATAAAGTTAAAATGAAATACCTTTAACTTGTATCTATAAATTTTTGTTTTCGATTTGCGATATATTTATTTAAAATATTGCAGGCACAAAATACAATTTACGTAACTTATGCAAGTTGCTTTGATACGTATTTGTTTAAAAAAAAATAATGCAAATTCTCAGCTTAAAACCTTTTATTAACAAACACGGTTAAAACAAAAAATACTTTTCTTTTTTTAATAATCTTATAGCTAACATAAAAATATTAGTAATAAATAATATACAATCACTTATAAATCGAAATTGAAAAATCTTTTCAGTAAACAAAAACATGTAATTAGATACACATTGCCTTTAACACTCGCAACAATTGTTTATTTAATGATTGACTATAACTAATCAAAAATTTCTAATTTTTATCAAACAAATATCAATAAACTTCTAAATTTAATATAAAAAATTAATATAATTATTTATTTCAAGTGCTACTTAAAAATAATACGTACTATAAATATAAACTTACTTTAAATATTATTTTTAAAAATAGTATTTAAAGTAAGTATATAAAAATATGTTCATACCTGTATTTTTTTTGAAATTTTTTTTTTTTTTTTTTGAGGGGATACAAAAAATTGCATGATTTTTGTTAAATTTTTGGGCCTCTTCATTTGGCATAGATATGAACATACTTAAGTTTGGAGTTGGTACAATGTGTCCTAACTGGAATATTAAAAAATCAGTAGTTTTGACGGAGTCTAACTATGCGAATATATATCTTGTACACAATTGCTAAAGAATACGGTCTTGATACTACTGTTCTATATAGAGATGATGGTCTTTATTCCTTCCATATAATCAGTGGTCCTCAATCAGAAAAAGTAAACAAAAATCTGAGACATTTTCGATTTTAACAAAATAATGATTCGCTATTTAATTTGTGGTTTTAAATGGCTTCTGTATAGTAAACATTTTTTACATTTTAAATTTTTTCTGTATAGTAAACATTTCCTATAGTATAATCTACTGCATATCGAATCAAAAAATCAAACTTTTATTTTTTAATTTGATAACAATTTATGAAACTCCTTGAAAAAATGAGTGATGATGCAAAAAAAGATAAAAAAGAAAGATAAAAGATGATGATTTCGATGTGAAGAAATATATCAGTTTTACTGAGCTAAAAGAAAATGAGATTGAAGGTAGACTTAAAACACTAAAATTGAATTCTATTGCAATTTCAGGTTTCCTGTTTGCAAAATTTTCCTACCCAGGTAAGTAAATCACTTCATGAAGTCATCATTAACTTTATAATAATACTTTATAATTGTATAATAACAATACAACTTTTATTAAAATAAGAATTAATATTTTGAACTTATTTGAACATTTTTACATTTATTGTATGTATGTTTTTATTAAAATGCTGTGTAGGTGGTGGGGATAAAAATGTCTTCGCATGTTCTAAGGCCTTTGAATAAGAAAAAAAAGTTAGTAGAAGCAAAAGGTAGTTAGCAGGTTAGTATAAATTCTTTGTTTTAACTTCTCGAGAAACATTTTTTAAAAAATTAAATTATCACTAGGTCAAAATACATCAGGAATAAAAGAAACGTGAAAACAGCAATTCTTTTTTATATTGTTTGAATCATTTAGCACGATCTAGCTATCTTTTCTCAGCCAAGACAGTTTTTTTTTCCTTGGGTCCATTAATGAACCCAAGGAAAAAAAATTAATGGACATAAGGAAAAAAAACTCTCTTGGCTGAGAAAAGATAGATATAGTGCTAAAATGATTAAAACAATATAAAAAAGAAATCAATTTCAGTATTTCTGCATAACAAGCATTAAAAGGTACCTTCATAATTTCATTGGCGAAATTTGATAATGCTGATGTTTTGCATGCAGCATTATTTCATTTTACATGTAGCATTATTACTTCATCAAGCATTATTGAGCCAGAAATAAAAAAATTGAGCTGACAACTTTAAAAATAACAAAAAATCAAAAATCGAAGTAAAAAGTTATTGAAAGAAAACCAGGAAAATTGAAAAAAAAAAAAGATAAATAAGCTGCTTTTGGGTGATGGAAAGAAATTTTTTGTGATAATAAAGATAAAAGAAACTGGATTTAATGCTAGGAATGTATAAATTCTACCACTTTGAATGAGAGGGTTTTGAACAGGTTTCACCAAATCATTTTTTTTGTATCACTTGTGAGAACGATTGTGGCTAATATATATTCATTTTTGAAAAACTTTTTTTAAGTTAGTCGCTATTTATTTTTATGTTGCCAAATGTATTTTCTTAATGTAAAACATATTTTAAATATTTTACTAAATATTCCATTTAATCGACATTTTTATAGATTATGGTTTATTAAATACTTTAAGGTAATTTTTGCTGAACGCTACATTCTAATTTTTGTTCAAAATTTTATTTTGCTATCCAGAGAATTTAGAAAAGGTGTTCCACCCTACTAAATAAAATGATTTTAAAGTTTTGTCGGGTATTTAACACAATTCATTTAGGTAAGTTTTAGTTTTGAGGACATTTGTTTTTTTTAAGTCATTTGAAGAATCAGTCTTCTAAAGTTTACCCCTTTCCCTCTTTCTTTTTATTTGTGGTATTGCCTCTGTTTCTATCTCATAATAATCCTTTGTTGAATACTACATTGTATTATTTGACAGAAACTCTATTTTGCTACCTCATAATATATTAAAGGTTTATCTTTAAATATACACAAAATATTACTTTATAAATGACATTTTTATAGATTATAGTTTATCAGATACTTTAGAGTAACTTTGTTGAATATTATACAGTATTATTTGTTCAAAATTATATTTTTCTACCTCATAATATGTCATAATTTGCTACCTCAAAAAACATATTTTGAAGTTCTTGAATAAAATAATTTCAATGTAATTAAAATTAATAAAATAAACTTGGGTTTTGGATTTTAGCACTGAGCAAGGGAAATTCCATGGTACTTGACATTAGTATGCTCCAAACGCACCAAATGGAGCGTTTGGAGTCTTCAAATCAACTAATGGAATTTAATTTTGCACACTTATTTATATTGTAGCCCAGGTGGCGATATTTAGTTTAAGAGAGCAAGGTTTGGTGCTTTTTAGGCCCTGCACAGTTTCGAAAAACACTTTTATTAAAGTTAGAACAGTCTACGTAGTTTTATAGCTAAAAAACAAAACAACCTGATGATGCGTAATGCAGTGCTGTAAAGCTATAAACAACCTGTCAGAAGCAACTTTAATGAAAATGTTGGCAAGGTTTTATTAAAATACAATATTCTTTTATGTTTTATATAAGAACTTTTTTTGAAAATATGACGTGATTTGCAAACAAGCAAAGAGCTGTTTCAATTTCCCTATCTTATTTTTTAAGCCAAAAAATGATAGAGTATAATACTATTTTAATGATTATCTAAATTGTGTTGTCATTGCGTACTCGGTTTTGTATGTTTAACGGGGGCGTAATTTAATAGCTGTATAACTCTAAATTTCCTTATTATATCAATATTAAGTATAAAAGTTAAACTTTAAATTTTAATTATCTTTAAAAGTAATCAGTTTAATAAAATTAAAATACAAATTTAGACTTTTTAAAATTATGTTTTCATAAAAAAATATACTTTTTTAACCCCCATACTATTTTGAAATACTTAAGGTAAATCTGCAGCTTATTAGGATTTTTGTCGTTTTAATTTTAAAGAAAAATCACTTTTTTTTTTAAATAACGGGTCACGTAAAATATTTTCCTATAAGAAATAAAGTTGTCCTTTTAATGCACAAACTTAACTAACTAGTAAACACATTAACAACTTAAGTACGGTGACATATGCTCAGCAAATTTTTAACGGTGTAATCATGTTTTAAGAAAATTTATAAGCTTTGTAAAAGATTCTCTCCCTTTCGTTTATTATAGTATATAATATCTTGATATATGTTACGCATATATCTATAGCCCTTTAAAAATGATTTGTTTTGTATAATAGAAAATTAGAAAAGATTTTTAAAAAATTAAGTGTAAACGAAAGGATTTGAGCCCATGCGAAACACTTTAACCACTTTGGCATATTTTAAACGATTACAAAATAATATGTATTGTATTAGTGTATTAAATTGAAATCAATTCAATTATTCATAATAACAAAACAAAATATATAAAGAAATGTATGTCTACATAAAAAATTCAACTAAATTTGCATAATCAATAAAGGATTGGTAAAATAACCAGTATTTGGTTTAATTGGTAGAATAACCAACTACATAAAAACTAATTAAAGACGCAGCCTTTTTTGTATCTACTACTCTATATATATATATATATATATATATATATATATATATATATATATATATATATATATATATATATATATAGAGAGAGAGAGAGAGAGAGAGAGAGAGAGATATACATATATATATATATATATATATATATATATATATATATATATATATATATATATATATATATATATATATATATATATATATATATATATATATATATATATATATATATATATATATATATATATATATATATATATATATATATATATATATATATATATATATATATATATATATATATAACATATATAAAGGTGGGGGATGTTTTTGCCCCACATTTGAACCCACACCCTGTGGGCAATGTGGGCGCTCTATTCGTTTTGCAAAATGCTAAAAAAGCATTGTAAAATGTGTAAATTGAAACAAAAATAAATTTAATAATGACATGAAAAAAGCTGAGATCGGCCCCGTAAAAATACGGGTCTTTGTATATCTATTCCGAACCGAACTTGTTTATACTTTTTCCTAAAATATTCTAGCATTCCGTATCCGTAAAATACACGTCAATTTACATATCTATTTCTAGCAAAAAAACTTTCATACCTATTCCTTATTTACTTTATTATTTTTGAGTAAAATAAATTTTTCTATAAAAAAATTAATGAGCGAAAAACTAATCATGCTTACCTTTCCTCGCATACGTAAAATATATAAGATACTTATAATTATCTTTGTTTTTCTGCTAAATGCAATTCATTGATAGCTCAGTGATTAAGTGTGCTGTAACCAGTGTTATTTTGGATGGTTTAAGACCTGTAGTAGAATATTAAATCCGCCTGAAATATAAGTTCCCACTGCGTAAAACTCAAAACAAGATTGCG